CGTTGACTGATATTTTGAGCAGTGCTGAAACTCGCATCTTGCTATCAACGAGACGAGGTACTTGCGCGGTTGAAGAAAATCTCGAGGTAAGAAAGGATGGAATGAATTAGGACAGATTTGCCGGCGCCTCAGCTGCGCATACGCTACCTACACATGATAATGTAGCAAGCTCTCTTGACTCTTTAATACAGCACATTGAGTTCATTACACGTTCAATCGGACAACGATCGTAAACTGCGTGGACAGTGTCCAAATCTGTGGTGTCAGTATGCTGTTAGATGTTGCACATGTAGCGCGACTCAGTCTGAAAGATTGGCTACCGTACACCAGGGAAGACTGCACATGGCCAGTATTGTAATGAAGCAGAAATGCTCGACGCAGCAGTCAGGAGCACACTGGTTGCATGATTCGTGCGAGAAGAACATGGTGTATGTTGTCGATTTTGGTATGACGAATGATGTGTCAAGGAACACACGCTGTCATGTCCTTTCTGGTCGCTAGCGGGGCTTGGCGATAACTAATCCGCATTACCCCAGAGCTCCTTCTCCACACCCCATTCCGCCCCATCCGATGGGAAAGAGCCAACACACGCTTTGCAGAAGCCATTGCGAAGGCAAAAAAATACATGGGTTTGTGAGAGGCGTGCTACTACGGCTTCCGCCTTCTCAAAAGTCTCCTCCGAATGGTACCGTCCTCACAGCTCCAATGCGACATTCACCACGGCAGCATCGCGCTTCGCGGAGGTGGCCTGAACCTTTCCCAAAGCAGGATGCCATCCGACATGCGGGAAGACTTCGCGCTCCTCGACTCAGGCAGAGGATGAAAGGAGGCTCAAAAGAGGCGGTACATTAGGCAAAAGAAACGGCAGTCGGCTCGTTCATCACGGGACTACATCATTCATTGGTGGATCGGCGCCTCTCTGGGGTCGAAGCATCTCCACAGCCGGAGGAAAGCCGTCCGAAGTAATTTATATAAGAGGTCGCGCTCCCCACGGGGTGGAACGTCTGTTTGGCTCTTTTCAGAACGACGGCGACATGTTGCTACCAAGCTTAAGAGAAATGGCTCTTTGGCATTGGTGCGCTCAATCGAATGGTTGAGATTGGTACGTATATTTGCTTATCTCGTCACATCACGCATCTTCCTGTTTGCGGTCGGCACCCCATACTCACACCACCCACGGGGTACCTGTCTACTATAGCACGGAGTCAAGGCTAACCATCGTAGACGTATCTGGAGACTCCATCAACGTGTCTCCCCACATGCGCACCACAACCGTCATCCCACATACTGCCGTTCCCAACATCCGGTAACCCCTCGGTCTCCCGAACATCACCCGGTCTCACAATCTCGACGCGAAAGCGTGACCTGGATGTCGGCACCTGTCACATTGCTCATCTCACGATGCTCTCGCATTGATCCACACGGACCCGTATTTTTCAAAAACTTCAGGACTCTTGGCTCAGGATTTTCACGCTTTGATGCACGTAGCGGGCCGCTAGCGCTGCAACCTCGGAGTCGGAGATGAGGTTTTTATCGCGCGTCGGCCAAGACCGGCGTTTGCTGGGAAACCTGCCAAGTTCGTACCGCCGACACCGAGGATGCGCTGCCAGCGATGAAAAATCACGGTGACGTAGAGGTGGACATCTGACGCCGCAAGTCTCGATTTACCGCGCTCCGCGAAGAATTTGGATATCCCGCAGGAACTGTCACCCCCGGTTTTCTAATGCAGAAGCTCTGGCGCACCAGTTACCGGCTGCTAGGACGAAAAACGTGCTGCCCTAGCTGGAGAACAACCTTTTCGTTCCGACTACCCTCCAATGGCGACCAGATGGACTTGTCACCGGTGTGAACGATCCAACGCGACTTGAGGCTCTGCGGAAGCTAGCGAGTGCCGTCACGTCCGTGCGTACACGTCTTGCATATTGTCCAACGATATGAGGCACTTGTCAGCCTCGTCTGCACTATAGACGCGTCTATGCCCCTGCATAAGGAAACATCCCGGGTAGTTCCAAGCTATCTCATAGGCCGGCTGGATGAAGTCTAACATTGGATACTCGGATGGAGCAGTTCGCCGATACTGAAGCGCACCCCGACATCACCATCCACAATGGCCATGCGAGGGGAAACCGTTGGAGCACGCGATACTGGAGTCACTGGGGCGAGATCACAAACTATACGACCCCGTATACGACCCCGAGGAGCAATCCACCAGAACCGGAAGGGTGGTATACTTGCAGCAGCTGCAGTGGGCCGATCGTTGCACTATCAACTGTCTGTGCTTCTCGGCGTGTCCAGCAACCATTCCGATACTACGCGATGAAGAAAATTCACGACCGGCAGCTCTCCGGCTCGAGCGTGCTCGTGACAGGCTGCCCCATTGCCAGCTCCAGCTCCACGATGCGATGTCATCATACCTCCGTTGTCAGGGCGCTCGTGCGAGCATATCTCCTTTCGCCTCCATGGCTAGGGCGTTCTGGAAAATGTTAGTCGGATGGGTATGCGGATGAGACTGACACTGGGGCTCCACTGTCAATAGACCCTACGAACCCGTCTCCGCATGCATTTTCTGCTATTTATACGGCGCAGCCTTCTCCTCACAGCCCACACTGGTCTCCTCTTCTCCAGCTTCTCTCCAGCTCACTTTGTTTGAGACGTATACCCCGCGCTGCAGACCAGCTCGACTTTTGCTCGATACCCTTTTGTTTTTCTCTATTGATTCCTAATTACCACGCGCCCAACATGACGGTCATGTCGCGTTTCTTCAAGAAGAAGGCGACCGAGGAGGAGATCCACGAGAAGGGAACACCCAACACCGCCACTCCTGCGGACACACCTCCCAGGGGAAACTCTGAGACCGTCCAGGCTGCGGATCTCGAGCCCAAGGGCCGCGTGCCTGCCATTGCCGTTATTCTCGGTGCTTGTGCCAGTATCGGTGGATTCATGTTCGGATATGAGTCTGGACAGATCTCTGGTTTCCTCGAGATGGACGACTTCAAGGCGCGTTTCGGCGGTGAGAACAACGAGTTCTCTGCTGTCCGCTCCGGTGCCATTGTCGGTCTTCTTGCGTAAGTCACTTCCTCCGCAACGCGATGAACGCGTCTAACAATCTCCCAGTGTCGGTACTCTCTTCGGATGCTTAGGCTCAGCTCCTCTCGCTGATACATTCGGTCGTCGTCTTACCATCTCCGGTTCTGCCTTTTTCTACATCATCGGTGTCATTATCGAAATCACCAGCAAGAACGTCTGGGTTCAATTCGCCATGGGCCGCTTCACTGCCGGTCTTGGTATCGGAGCTCTCTCCACCGTCGTACCCATGTACCAATCCGAGTCGATCCCCAAGCGCATCCGTGGTGCCACTGTCTCCTCTTACCAACTGTTCATCACACTCGGTATCTGGACCGCATACATGGTCAACTACGGCACGGAGAAGGACTACGTCAACAGCGCTCAATGGCGCATTCCCAACGGTCTTTCCGCACTCTGGGCCATCATCCTCGGTAGCACCATCCTCCTCCTTCCCGAGTCCCCACGCTACGCATACCGCAAGGGCAAGGTCGACGAGGCTCGCATGAACATGGCCCGTCTCAACGGTGTCGACCCGCACAGCGCCTTCATCGACGCCGAGATTGCTGAGATCCAGGAGAAGCTCGAGGCTGAGTCTGCTGGCGGCGACCACCCATGGCACGAGATCTTCACCGGCCCTCGCATGCTGTACCGCACTCTGCTCGGTATGGTCCTTCAGGCCGGTCAGCAGTTGACAGGTGCCAACTACTTCTTCTACTACGGCACAACCATCTTCTCCGCCACCGGCCTCTCCAACTCATACGTCACCTCCATCATCCTCGGAACCGTCAACGTCGTCGCTACCATCTTCGGTCTCTGGGTCGTCGAGAACGTCGGCCGCAGAAAGGCCATGATGGTCGGTGCTGCCTGGATGGCCATGTGCCTCTTCATCTACTCCTTCGTCGGTCACTACGCTCTCGACCAGAACCTTCCCCAGAGCACGCCCGCTGCCGGAAACGTCATGATTGTCTTCACCTGCCTGTTCATTGCCGCGTTCGCCACCACCTGGGGACCCCTCGTCTGGGCCATCGTCGGAGAGTTGTACCCTGCCCGCTACCGCGCTACCTGCATGGGTCTCGCCACCGCCTCCAACTGGCTCTTCAACTTCATCATCTCCTTCTGCTCTACCCTCATCACCGACCGCATCGACTACTTCTACGGTCTCGTCTTCGCTGTCTCCCTCGTCCTGCTCTTCTTCGTCGTCTACTTCTTCATGATTGAGACTAAGGGCCGCTCGCTCGAGGAGATTGACACCATGTACATGATCCACGTCAACCCTATTACCAGCGCCAAGTGGGATGCGTCGAGCTTGGCCAAGGACGGTCTTGTCGACACCGACAGGCTGCATATGGGTCCTGGCGGTCGCAACTTTAGCAAAGCGGAGCAGGCTGGTACCCACGGTGGTATCTTGGAGCCGGCGGAGCGCAACGAGAACCAGGTCTAGATGGCTGGTCGTGGGAATGAGGCTATGATGGAGAAGATTTGTTCACGATTGGAGTGGACTGTGACGGCCTAGAATTTTATCAGTTGTAATTCAGTATGAGTGTCCGTATGTAGGACAGGAAATGGGATGCCAGTATAGTGCATGCCCTCAATACATTATCATTAAATCACTTGCAGTCTTCTCATGGTGCATGAATGCTTTTCGTGTTGTTCTCGTATCTCAGACCCAAGTGTTCGACTACTTCGTCGAGACCTGTTCGCCTCCCTAATATCGCAAATATCTCCGACGCTTTGATGCCACTCGTCTCCCGTCCCAGGTAGTCCATCCAGGTCGCTGTATTGCAAAAGCCGAATCCAAGTGATGATTACACCCTACAACGCGAGTTCCGAGAATTAATGATACACACCGGAGTCTATGTAGTCAGCAAACCATCATGTAACCCCAAGATTCATTTGGAGAAAATACCTAAGTCGCCATAGAATCTCTGATGTTTCTAGATACCCTCTCGCTGCCACTTTTCGATCTCTTTGATGAAGAGCTGGATCTGTGCTCTACCATATGTCTGTACGTCTCTCTTACTGAAGACAGGTTGAACAAGGTCGCCAGGCCCTGTACCAGGAAATATCCGGATATGATCGGGAATTGGATCTTTCCGATCAGCATTGAAGCGGACGGCCAACCGGCGCATGAGTGGATCGAGAATGGCATGGTTCTCGTGCATATGTCTGGCGTACAGAATGTTGGCAGCCTTCATGAGCCAATGACCAGAGTCATCGATTTTACCGAGGGAACTGACATATAAGTGAAACTTCATGCCGGGATGCGAGGCGCCATATGGCGTCAATGTCTCGACGGCCTTGTCCCATGTGCTCACCCATCCCACGACACTCGACACATCAGCACACAGTGTGACTTGCCGAATATACTTTTGCTGATCTGCCGAACATGTAGCGAGAAACGCAACGAAGTCCTCGACCTGTCGATCAGACCGAACAGCGATGTCGTTCAGTCTCAGACCTAGGCCCTTGGTTTCGTCGTAGAGCTGGCGACAGACGTATTTGAGCCTGTTAGATTCGACCCAGTGCTCATAGAGTCGATGGCCTCTGAAGCTCTTCGGGTGAGTCTCGATCATAAGGAGGCCGCGATCTTCGGTGAGTGCGTACTGTCAAGCTGTTAGCACGAATAGTAAGATGTCTCAGCAACGCGTTGGCAAAGCATAGCAAGGGAGCTACATACTAGTAATAAGTTAGCAAGATATCTTAAGAGCTGTTCGTGGCGGCTACTGTACCCTCATAGATGATATCGCGGAGTTCTCTCGGTAGAGCGAGCAGGCGATTTGGAGCCGATGGTGGTGCTGAGTCGCCCGTGGGGACTGGCTGTGAGGGTGCGAGGCGCATACTGAGTGTCGGCGACGGAAACAGTAGTTAGTGTGAGGACGAGGAGAAGAGGAGAGGCAAGTAAAGTCTCAGTGTTGTTATCTAGGAGACTAGTCCGTTTGCTCTGAGGCTTGGTTGGTCACAGAACTCATGTGGAAGGAGCGACTGCATATGTGACGTCACAGTGAAGGAAGGAGGCGAAGACGTCAAATCAAGCAGAAGTATTGAGTGGATTGTGTAGTATGAGCCTTGATCAATTCCTAGACTCGGCGACCATTATCTCGAAAGCCATTAGAACCTGGATACGGCTGCTTATCTACTCTTGCAGTCGGAGTCGCTGGAATGTTTTCTGAAAGACAAATTCAAGTTGAACCTTTTCGCCGTCTCACTGATGGAAACGCCGTTATATCCAAGAAGCGTTGGCAACGACTTAGAAACCCTCCTGGAACCACTGTTTACACTGCGCAACCCAATCATCGACATCATCAATGTCAGAGTACGGAGCAGTGCGCCTGAGTTCATCCTCGTCGAAACTCCTAGGAAACACTTGTACAGCCGTCGAATCCGCCCAAAAGCCATCTCGAGAGGCACAGCGATACGGTGCCGCGCGATTCGCGCTATCCCTGAGCTCTGCACTGGCAAGAACAGGAAACGTGCCTCTTATTGCACGCTGAACCACGCTGCCCCCCCAACACCAACCCTGGAAACTCTGTTGGTCGGAAAGCCAATCGAGTCGCACCTCCACGGACAGGGCTGGATATTTCTGGCTGATCGTATCTGCCCCCTGTAATTCGTTGAGCAGTCTGCCAGATGTCGTCTGCAAGATCGCGACACGTCGAACTTGCTCAAAATTCGCAGCCGAACAGTACTTCTTAGTAAACTTGTCGAATAGTTCGTAGCTGAAAGGACCGGGGAAAGTTATCTTGTTATGTTTCAAACCGAGGCCCCTGGTCTCGGCGTACAGCTGGCGACAAACAAACTTGAGTGGATTCGGATCGGGGCCTCGCGGATTGTCTGCTGCACGGAGACGAGAGGGAGAGGGTTCCGTGAGAATGAGCCCAGCTTGCTCGGTGAGTGCGTACCCGTAGATTATGTCGCGCAGCTCTCTCGGGAGGCCAAGCAGCCCGAAGTGTCCAGAGGCAGCCATCTGTCGACATGTTAGTTGAGCTTCTTGAGCGGACGGTCTAGCTAATGCTTGCCTTTGCTGCGCGCAAAAGACGACAGTCGTTCTGGGTGTGTGGTATTGAATGGACCTGCTGAGCTCAAAGACGAACTGTGGGGCGAAGAAGTAGAGTGTCGGGGTTTGTTTACAGTAGTCCAGCAAAAAGTGGGGCCAGGCGAGGTGAGCGACCTTAGGAGGAAAGAGCGACCCTGTCGTCACGGCAAGGTCCAGCCGGCTACTGATAATTCGATCTCATGGATCATATATTGACTATTCATCCGTGACTAGAAAGTTCTGCAATCATTTCCCATACGTCCAAATCAGAGGCGCGTCTCGCTATACATGATGCGTCGTACGTAACATCTTCCTTTTCCCATTCCTTCACTTTCAAACTGGATGTCGTCGCCTTCAATGCCGCCGCTTGAACGCCAAGTGTCAAGGAAGAGACCCGTATTATGGTACAGAGAAGAAGATAGATCGGAGAAATTACTGCAGAACAAGAACTCGATAGAAGCAAAGGGGTATTCTGGGGGTATCTGTGGTGTGACGATGGGTAGTGGTCGCACGTAAGGATGTTGGTGGGTTATTGGGTGTTTGGTAGAGGGTATGAGGCGTGATGAAGTTACTGTTCAGTATCTGTTCACCTGTATGCATTAGTAAATCTGCGTCTTCAGAGGAGATCATTTCAAGCACTCACCGGTATCCCGGGCCTCTCCGGGCGCCTCTCCTCTCGCGGTACTCGTCGTGTTCCTCAATTACTTCCACGACATCATCGCCTGGAACACGTTGCCGCCCCTCCACAATGATACTCCTCGCTCTCGGCGGCGCACCCCTCCTCTCCTCAACGATGATCTGCGAGCGTCCACTGTTCCGCCTCGGGCTCCTGCTGATCTCGCGGACTTCCGAGCGGCGTCGCGACGAGCGTCCGCCATGTGAATTGCGTCGTGGCCTGCGCACCACAATCTCTTCCTCTCCGGCCATGGCTGTGGTTGTACCGGTCTTGTTGTTGGTGTTCATCAGGGACTGGATGAGCCAGCAGATCAGGAGAAAGCCGGCAACGCTGCCTAGGACGATGCCGACAACGGTGCCGGGCTCGGGACCGTCGGTGTTGTAGTAGGTGGGTATTATACCCTGCTGGGCATATATGACGTTCTGTCGCTTGACAATGGGGGCTGTCTTGGGCGCATCGAAGACAATCGCTGGCACGTCGAAGGCAGGCTGTCGGGCGCTAAGGCTGGAGTCGCGGGGCGCCATGTTGGCGAGGAAGCTGAGGGGATCGCGTACGGCCGGCATGGTGAAGTCGAGCGGTATGCGACACTGGCCGCGAGAATGCGCGCTGGCAGCAAAGTGGTGGTGTTAGTATTTGGCGTGTTTGGGGGGCCGTCGTCTGGGGGAACAGCAGTTCCTGGCCTGGAACCGACGATGCCGGCGCTAGTTGTGGGGTGGAGGTAGATCAATCTGGTGTGCAGCAACACGCAACGCAATGCTCGAGAGATAACAAGACAGTCAAGCAATTGAAGGGTGCCGAAAATCCGTCCCAGGTAAGAGAAGTGGGAAAAGCAGGGCGCGCTTGGGGATTTGACACAGTAGTGCGCTGGTTGACTACGACGCCATGATGCAATTATTCATCTTGTTATGGGGGCTGGGGCCCAATAATAGGAGGCTGAACCTCAACACCACCGCCCGCACCGCGCGACATCACGACACTCAATCTTCGGCCGATCTCTCCGCATGGCTCTTTTACTGCCCAATGTTGTCGCGATGCATCGCCTTTCCTGTTCACCATCGCGATGCCGCCAAAAGCCATCCGCAACGCTCCGCGGGAGGCGCAACGCCTGAATGCCCAATTTGACCTCATCTCAACCTCGTACCTGGAACCTTGCTCCTCAATTGACCAACTCTACCCGCCAATACTTGTTTCTTCCTCGCATGTTTCCTCTATTCGACTGGATCGCCCTGCGTCAGATCCTGCTTTGCGCAGATGATTCCCGACCAATTGCGACGGCTTTGCGCGCCGAAGCCACAAATCGCTTGTCGCGCCGTCACGTGAGACTCCCGCGGACCTTCCTGCCCGGGTTCTGGTGTGATCGCGACTGCCACAACAACATCCTGACTACCACCCAACACCATACATCAACCCAGCGCGAGCTTTGTGGAAGCTGCAAGTATCACTGTGTCATCTTCGTTGACTATAGGAGTTGGCGACATCTGATGGGATTCGGTGTTTTGCTACCCACCTGTACACGCAATTGTCAGGAACGCGTGCGCATGGCAAAGCGCAACTGCTACACGAGATGATACACACCCAAACAGCAAGATGGAGTGTATATGTATCCGTCTGTCCTTGCTCTTGGGGATCGACAGATAGTGAGAAACTACCTTGTAATCACTATGCCACCACAAGATGTGCTTACAGAGAACGCCCAGTCAGAGAACGTCCAGCCACAGGATGCGCGTCCAACTTTCATACCTAAGAATTGCTTACGTCTCAACAATCCTCACATGCTCCAGCTTCAAAGGGACATTTTCAGCCTGGAAGATAAGACCGAGCGCGTTTTGAAACCATTCGATCCATCCCACCATTTCGACACTATCAAAAGCTCGCTGGGGCAAAACAGCAACGGCCAACGGATAAAAGATGCCGAAATCCTTACTCAGTGGCTTGCGCCCACTCACGGACAACTACGAGCTCAGATATGCGGTGGAACTAAGATCGACAGGACTTCAGCAGCTTTATTTGTTGTGGACCGCCTTCAAGGTTTGCAGTCGTCAAGTCTTCCCAAGAAGACTCAGGTCCTGTATTTCTTTTGTCACCGTTCTGACCGTCAACGCAGTACTGCCAGCGCAGTGCTAAACGGCTGGATATATCAGCTTGTCCAACAAAGACCTGATTTGACTAAGGAATTTTGTGAATGGCTTCTTCAAGATCCCATTTATGTACCTTCCTACCTCGACAAGGCCAGAATGATGTGGGCCTTTTTACGACGGGCTGCAAAGCTGAGCAACGCGGGAATGACATACTGTTTGTTGGATGGCTTGGACGAATGTGGCGCAGAGAGTAGAGCTCTCATCCTTGAACTACTCGATCTTACGCTCCCGTACGAAGGCTGCCCGGAGACGCAGCCTACTCTGAAGTTCCTCGTCACCACCCGCATCCCTCTAGACGTCGCAAAATACGGGAATGTCGACTTGGATGCGCGCACTGGGAGCGGGTCTATGTCTTCCACTATGGGCTCGCTTACAGCCGAAGAGCATCTTAGCAGCCTGAGCCAGAAGTATAGCCGCATGGGTTTTATAGTGTTGCAGGTGCTCGCTGCCTACCTTTGCCCGCCGACCACCGGGCAGCTTCTGTCCATGTTCCTCGAGAGCCAGCGAACCCACGTTCTTGAATTCCTCGACTCTCGTCCAACCGAACTGCTAATTAGTTCCGAGCACATAGGGTTCGCAGATTCCGATGCGTGGCTCGCGCTCTCAGAGTCAAGTCTTGCGGAAGCCAACAATGCCAAGCTTGCTCGACAATGCCTAGAGTTAATCGGCGCCGGCCTTGCTCAGATCGACATGGCAGATCTGGAAAACGACGAGTCTATTTGGGTCTCGCAAGTCCCTACCGACTTGCAGTATGCAGTAAATCACTGGGCTGATCATGTCAAACTGCTGGAGAACATCCCGCAAGACTTGGTGGCATTGATCGAGGCGACCTTTTCCTCTGAACCAACAGTCCTGGAGAAGTGGTGGATCATGTTCATGACCTGGAATTACGGCATCTCCTCGTATCATGATGTTCGTAAACATCATACAACACTCCTCCACGTATACGCCCTCTTTGGTCTCGACAAGCTCATCGAGGCCTCCTCCTCGTATTGGTTGCTGAAAAAGTACATGTCATCACTAGACGCTCAGATGCTAGCACCGATTGATGTCGCGATCTTGCATAACCATATTCAGACGGCCAAATTCCTCTCTACAAACTTCAAGTCATCTGGAAGTTTCTCATGTATCCTCGCGGCTGGTTCCAGTGTGGAAATAGCAGATCCGATCCATTCGAAACATTACCCCACTGAAATACATCTAAGGAAAGAAGAAATCGAGGGGATATTGTGGAACGCAGTCTGCACCGGTATATCAGAGATGCTCGACGGCGCCATCAACTTCGTGTTTGTAAAATCGCCCGACGACCTTTTCCCATGGAACAATACATCATACGCTGAAGCCATCATAGATTCCGGTGAATACCGGCTGCTGAAACACATCCTGACAACGGTCAATATGCAGGAGAAGGCTGGCCACCTCATCGAATACGCAACATGGCATCACGAACCGCGCATGCTCCAGGAGATACTAGACTACGAGGTCGTGCGCGAAATGATCAGACACAATCAGATAAATCTTCGCACGGCTCTGAGCAACGCACTCTTCCGCAGAAGCCCCCGGATGACAGAACTGTTACTCAGCGAAAAGACTATGAACTTTCCAGCCCTTGTCAACAATCCAAGACCGCTGGAATGGGCAGTCAAGCACCCCAATGTTCACACTCTCATGGTCTTCCTAGCACAACCGAACTTTCGTTTCGACAAGGGCGCCATTGAAGAAGGCGTCGCGCTGAACCTCATGTTGCACAACGCGGGCCAAGAATTGGGCGTCGACATCGATAGTCTTGACAAGATACTCCAGCGGGGTGCGCGCATGCGGTACGAAGACTTCGGCATGACCGCTCTCCACGTCGCCGCCGAGATCGGTCGCATGTCAGTCATGGAGACCCTCCTAGACAATCTTACCGAAGACGAGATCAAAGAGGATATTGACCGCAGGTGTAGCCGCGCCCACAGAAGTCAAGGTCGGGAAGGCATGACTGCATTGGCTATCGCTGCTTCGAAGGGCGGCTTGGAGATAGTGCAGTGCCTGTTGAATAAAGGAGCGGATATCGACGTGGAAGATAGGGCAGGGAAGACTGCTGTGCAGCTGGCACGAGAAACTGGTCGGGACGATATTGCGGATATGATCTTGGATAGTTGATACTGTGTGGCTGCTTATAGGATTGGGAAAGAGCTAGAAGGTGAGAGAGGTCGCGTAGGGAGCAGAAGTGGTGATGGTCGCAAGAGCAAAGAGAAGAAAGTCTGGAAGGGCAAGGGTAAGGCGGAAGCTGGCGCACGTTACTGACGATAGTGCACGCGCGTTTCGATAGTAGTTTACTCGCAGTTCATCCTAGACTAGAGCATCTCCGCATCTCACCCACTCCCTATCTCTATACCTCCAGCCATGCGCATAAATGAGCTGCGCAACCTCTATCCTGATTTTGGCATTCCATGCTACGTCTAGTAAGCCCACGCCATCTTCCTTGCACCCCGCATCCGCACCAGCCCACAACAGTCTATCAGCCCAATCTAGCGACTTGTTTGCCACTGCTTTGAACAGCGGGCTCGTCAACTTTATGTACTTACTTCTTCCTATGGACCCCCCACCGATCGTGTAATATCCCGGGACCTTGGAATCGCTGTACCAGAGCCAGCGACGTGGTAACCTCCAACGGCCATCACGATACACGTCGCTAAACTTCTTATCGAGCTGCCGCTGGTATGGCTTTTTGAGGTAGTACCGGGGTATCACGGCGCGTGTCCCCGGAATCTTGTCAACCTGCTTTGATAGAGTATCAAGCTTGGGAAGAAATACGCATGTATTCTCATCGTATAGAGTCTGGTTGAAGAAAGCCTCGTAGATGACGAGTTTACCGTGAAAGTTTGGAACGCGCTCCATCCATTTGTATATCTCATCGAAGACACACTTGTCGCGTTTAGCCTTGGCTGAGATGAGGAGATCTTTGATGAGGATCCGTCTTGCTATGTCTTTTCTTACGAAGACATTGCCTCCTGCTGTATCTTTCAGATGCTGTATGGAGTGGTTGAGCAATATGCCGATCGTTTTCTTGGGGCGATCGAGCTCGGCGATGGCGATGAAGAGGTACTTGTATAGCTGCTCCTGCTTTATGCTTTTTACTGAGCGGAGGAGCAGTTGGAGCATATTTGTATGTCCGGTACTAACTGCGAAGCCAAGAAGGGTCGTGCCGAAACAGTAGTTCAGATCGTCTACGCTGCTGTGAAAGCCTGCGAATGCGTCGAGCACTGCATCTTCCTCGTCGGCGACAATGGCGCAACAGATCTCGAGGAACTTCCGGTCATTCTCGACCCGCTTTTCGGGGTCATCATCCATCGTGTATTCATCATAGTGTGGCAGCTTCTTCGCCCCATCAGACGAGGAAGCGTGTACGACTACCCTGCTTTCCTTCCAATACTCATGCATACAGAAGCATGCCCACAATTCCAGCTTCTCTTGTCTAGTGGCCCGGTCTCTTTCCGATATCCCCAGATTTTTGAGCTGTGACTCATATACGGGAGCGAATAAATGCGCGAAGAGACTGGACTCAGCACCCCGCATTTTGACGCAATGTTGGAGGTATGCGTAACGAAAGTACCGATCAATTCTGTCCCAGAAAGGTTGTCGAACACATTCACGACCAGAGGCCGCGCCGCAGTGGAGGTAGAATCGAACTGACTCGAGGCCATGGTCGGTGAAGAATATGGAGCGGACTTCTTCGTCGAATAGAGCTAGATAATGTTAGCTATGCGACGAGATCCATTAGGACTAATGGACATACAATTGGCTAGTCTCAGCTGGAGAAGTTCGTGACGGTTATAGGACGCGCCTGCAAATTCCAAGATGCAGCGCAGTATCTCAAGTGGCACCTTCATCTTCGAAGTTGATGGGGCGATATTTTTAGATGATGGAACAAGGGCAGGAAACGCAGGTTTTGAAGAATGAGTATATGACTGTTCGAAGTTCTGTGAGTCAACGTGAACCATACTTTGGTCAACCTGTCGAGCGAGAGACATTGGTCATGCACACATTGACTGAACGCATCTCTAGATCATTTTTCGCATCGTTCACGTGCTGTACATTGTGTTACTGTCTCAATGGGCTGCGGCCATTACTAATCCAGAGCTGCCGCTGGGTAAAGTCATGCGCCTCGCGCCATCTGAGTTCTCCGAGCAGATAAATTGATAGACGTTTGAGCCTCTTGGTCGGCTCTCATCATACCATTGATAAAAGGTAGTGGGGATGTGACTGTTGTTCCCGTATGCTGTAACAAGGGTGGGTCGTGCTGGCCGGTGCTCGCGCGACGTGTTCAGTTCGGAATGAGCACGCAACTGCCATAGCTGCGAGCTTAGCAAGGTCGTAGCTGCTAATGTGTTGAATGTTATAAGTATCGATCCTGCTTTCGTATGTGATGATTTTGTCAGTGCGCGAGGTGGCTGGTTTGAGGGCGCTGGTATGACGCAATCGTGATCCGCGCTATCATGCTGACTATGCAGGGGCATCACAACATTCGCGATCACTGGAAGGTCGTTATTGCATTCTCATTGCTTTCCAGATTAACTGGCTTTTTGTTGATACATATACAAAGAATTCCGAATCGGCGATAGCCGGCCGTGACCTCTGGTATTTCCCAGAATCACCACTGCCTATACACAAGCGCCTCGCTTCCAGCATCGCGTACTGCACCAACATCGCACTTGTCAAAACCCGCGTCTTCGGATCCGGAAAGCAGCCCATCAGCGCAACTAGAAGGTTGCGATCTTCCAGTTGATGTCAGGTCCTCCCTCTAGCTATTTGTGAATACGATCCCGCCGACGCGACTGTTGAATTCTCTCTTCCACAGTGGCATCATGGACCTTGGGAGTAGGTTGTCACCATCGGCGCCGAATACTTCCAAAATGACATCATGGCTCTCGGCAATCTTTCCCGCACTGGATGACCCGTACTGTCGGATGATCGCTGTATGTAAGTTGATGAGCTTGTCTTTACGTCGCACCACAATGTTCTTGAACAGAGCCCTGAGAGACTCTTCCGACGGCTCTGGGAAGTTTGTGTTGACATGCAGCTCTCTCATACTCTCCGGAAGCATGTCGCCCATGCAGGGAATGTCGATATGCCCCCACGTCCGCGCACCAGTTGGAATATGCGCATCGCGGCCCTGGCGCTGTCCGCTCTCCAGTGGCGGTCCACAAAAGCATTCAACGTCCACCTCCAGCTTTTGCAATCTCGTAAAGCGCAGAAACGAGGAAAGACCGTTTACAATCTCGCCATGCAGCTCGTCAATGGTGATAGCGAGGTCAACAATAGTATCGCTGTTGTAGTTCGCCAGGGTCTCGATCATTTCGCCCGCGTTCCAGTCGTGTTCAAGACCATCCCATTTTGTTTGGTGTGAGTACTTGAAGACTTGGAGAGCTGGTGTGTTTGTGAGGAAGGCCGAGAGTCCCGTAGCGTCCATGCAACAGTAGGCGAATTCGACACGGGTCAAAGGAGATTTGACATTTGGGTTGAGCCAGTTGAAGGGAACACCTCCCCAATCCTCGTCAACCGCAACACAGCTGACAGCGTAGATGTTTCGTATACTATTGAGAGTCATGAAAGGCGCAAGACATTGCAAGCCAACTCTGACGTCATATCCTTCCTCCACGAACGGCAACAAAGTCTCGAGCCGCGCCAGGGGCTTCTGCCGGTGCCCACTTGCATTGGACATGGCGACAAGCGACTGCACATTAGAAACAAGAGCCTCGGCGCCCTCACCTTCCCTGACCTCATGCCACCTATCAGGTAGTTGCAACGTTCTGAGGTTGGGTAGAAGACTTAACAACGCGACGGTCGCGTACAACTTGTCCATATTCGACTGGTCACCCGCTCTGTCTTCTTCCAGAATGCGACCCCACCACTCTTCCTCGTCAGCATCGGCGTAATATTCGGCGCGCCGCAGCAGATCTCTGATATTTTTCATCTCCTGCTCATCTTCGCGGAAACTGTGCGGGGTGGTATCCTCCGGCATTTCATCGTCTTGCCGGTGATCCCAGAGAGAAAGAGTCTCAATGTACTCAGCAATAATCGGGTCGCGGGAGATGTCGTGCAGGATAGCCAATGTGTCACCGCGACGAGTCCGGCTCATGTTAGTCGTGTGGCTCCAAGTCTTGCGCATGTCATTGTGCTGTCGGATCTGGGACGCAGCGCGTCCATACACAGTCTTACATGAGAGCACGAAGCTTTCAAGACCATCAGGTGCGGTACGGTCAATGATCAGGTCAAGAAGTTCTGGTGGAAGATCGAGGAGTCCCATGGTAGCCTTCGAGGTGGCGCGGCCGGCGTCAATGCCGCCAAAAAGTAAAGAGCAGGCGGAAGTCCTGGCAGGCAGGTGGGTGGCGAAGTTGTGGCTTTAAGTGTCAAACGTGTAGTAAAGGTATGATTCCACGGTTCCGATGTGAGCTAGTTGAAGCTACTGGTGGCGGCTCTCACCTGTGCACGAACAGATTCTAGAATCGCAACAGCGCAGGGTCCAGAGATGTTGGGCAGCGGACGAGAAGGTCCGAAACTGGCAAGTAAGCGAAAAGATAAAGGTCGTTCATTGGTTTCGGTGTAAATCTCCTTGCTGCTCTCGTTTGAATCCTATGGTGGGGTAAGCTAGCGGCGCTTTGGGCCTAGCCTGTGCAAAAAAAGAAGGCTCTCACAGCTTCGATCTCCGACCATGGGCCTCGCTTAATGTCTACCAACATCATCCTACAATCGACGTCTCGATGCATTTATCTACGATATCTGTGGTATCGTTACTCGACGTAGCCCTCCCGAATGTGGCCCCTATGTCTGTTTCGAGTCGGATGAGGTCTTCAACCGGTTTTATGGGCAGTCGCAAGGAATACACAAAGATCGATCTCATGCTAGCTCTGATGCACCTCCCTTGATGTGTTCTCTCATGGGCTGAGATGCGGGCGTTGCTTTAGTGCTGTACGGGTGAAGTACCCGTCTTACAGTGCTGCAAGGTCATAGCACTCGGTCTGACCACTTCCTTGTCGAAGATAACCATTCTCTGTCTCGGGAACTACCTACATGTCGCAACAATGTTTTCTTAGAGGGCTATGCTAGATATTTTCGTTTGGTAAGCATTTTTGTATACGCGGATTCAATCTGTAGCCTAGACTTGTGTTGCACACACGTCAAGAATTGTCTGGGCAAGAAACCCCCGGGGCCGATTGTGGAACGGCTGAGATGATGTGACCTGTTGCAAACCAGCCCTTTCGCCGAGACCCAGGCTGAACACACCAATTGGTTGTTTCCATGACCCCGAATTACCGGACGTGCTTCTTTTCTGCATATTTCAAAACCTGACTTAGCTCCACATCTTGATCAGATGGTCGAGAATCTAGGTATTCCTCTCCTGATGCGGAGCCCACTGGCAGGCATTTACAACCCGATATCTCTTAGTTCATGCGGTCGAGCCCGGATAAGTTGCACTACTGCTACTGAAACCGTGAAGCGAAACCTTGGGCCGGAGAATGGGTTAGCTCATCTCTAGTCGACCCAGTCAAGGGTCCGGCAATTCTCCCCGGCGACTTCTCACATTGAAGAACCAAGGATACACACGGTCTATACCCCCAACGCTAAGCGATATGTACTCATGTATAGGACTTGTGGTCTTCCCGGTGCTATCTTCTCGCATTGAAGAAGCAAGGATACATACGGTCTACACCCCCATCCCCAAGGGATATATATTCACGTACAGGACATATAGTCCTTCCGTTGCTATCTGCAGCTACTGTATCGTCGATGGAAGGATCCATGGACACTGACAGTCTAAGATCGGTGCATCGTCGAGCGGGATGATCCTGGGTGAAAGTGAATGACTTGCATAAGCAGGTTTGTGCCAGACGTCTTGTACGGAATAGTGCTGGTGCAGGAGTAGTGTTGTTGGTACGGATGGGCCCTCCGACCCAATCATGGTGCTTCTGAACGCGATGTCACGTGGGCTGAGGGAATGTGCTAGATACCGTTCTCACATACCTGAGCGCTACCGAGGTAGTTGGACAACGATTACAGGTATCGTACTCTTTTTACACTCAAACATCTTCACATACATCATCAAGAGGCCCTTTCAAATCATTGTAGTTGTCTTTCCAAGTGTGAAAGGGTTGCGCGCCTTAAAGCGCTCAATGTCCCCCGGCACCGTTTCAGCCCGACTTATCATAAGTTGTTCCCAGTAGGGCTGCTACACTTCTGCATATCGAGTCGGGTATCATGACTACCGGCATCTTTATGCAGTCTTGTCACAACCGTCTAGCCATCGGGGCTGCGGGCCACGAAGCAAGGATATAATGCGTCATCACCAGAGCATTGCGCAATGCGAGAATCAACTTCGGCGGCCACTAAGAATATCGCGTAACGCGGAGAAATGTAATGGAATGCACTACATTTGGTGCGACTTGGCGCAGATTGCGATCTTGTCCAAAGCAAGTACCACCTCTCCCCGAAAGTCTTCCTTTGAGATGCAGGTCTGCTGAAACCCCACTTCATTCATCTGTCAACATGGCACTGTATGGCCTCCTATTGCTAGTTAC